CGTGAATAAAGTGACACGAATGAGTCCTAATATATTAGTTGTAAATAAGTTAAATTCACTTATAAAAAAAATTGAGATTCCAGATCAGAGCAAAAGTAAAAACCAAACAAATGAATGAAGACCAAGGTATGGAAGTATCCATAATTAGTAAACTCAAATGAGGTGTTTATAGAACAATGCATTTTACACTAACTATATATACATCACGTTTTGAGCTCACATAGAACCCACACAAAAACTGGCATAGATTTAGCCATAAAAGAAGCCTCAAAAAATTCTAAAGAAATAAACCAGACAGTGTTTTTTGATGGTGTTAAGGAAATAAGAAACCAATATCTAAGTATTAGCTTAAAAAATTATATGATAGGTAACTAAAAAGTGGGCTATTTTATTACTCTTGGGTCAGAGAGAAAGTCATAAAGGAAGTTCTAAAATACTTAATGCTAAAAGCAAAATGAAAACACTGTATGTCAAACTTGTGTGACAGATAAAAGGAGGAACATATGGCTTTAAACACATTTGTAAAAAAAAAAAACTAAAAACAAATCAGCTAAGCTTTGGTATTTAAGCTTTTACACTTTTTAAGTGGCAGAAAAGAAATCTCAGAAAGGCATGATGGGAAGAAATAATAAATATAGGATAGAAATTAATGAAACAGAGAACAGAAAAAAAAACAGATTTTAAGACCAATAGGACCAAAAGCTAGCATTTTGAAAAGGTTAGTAAGGAGGATCAAACATCTGGCAAAATTGAGTTTTTCACTGAAATTTTGGTTGAGAGAATTGTGGATTTACATGCAATCAGAAGAATTAATGTAGAGAGAGTCTCATGTACTCTTTCCTCAGTTTCCCCAAAGGTAACATTTTGCAAAACTGGAGTACAAAGCACAGCCAGGATATTGATGCAAATACTATATACTGATTTTATTTAGAATTTCCCTATTCTACTTGTACACATTGGTGTGTGTGCATGTGTGTGTACTTAGGTCTATGCAATTTTGTTGCGTTTAGATTCATATGTCCCCCGCCCCAGTCAAGACACTGAATAGTTCCTTCACCATAAGGATCTCTCATGAAAGATCAATTTTTTAAAAAAGGAGTGAAGATATAAAAAAAAATAGATACACAATGAAAGCAGATAAATACTTACAGATGCAGTATAGAGTAATAAAAGTATATTATGAACAACTGTGTACCAAAAAAATCAGAAAAGTTAGGCAAAATGGATGAATTGTCAGAAAAATATAAAAAACCAAAATTGGGATGAGAAAAATAGAAGTATTGAATAGACATAATAAAGTAATAGATAAGGTGATCAAATAGCTTTCCATGTTAAGTCCCGGTATCAATTTTAGAAGTAAATTCTATTAAATTGTCAGATTAAGAGATAATCCTTACTTTACACAAATTTTGTTTCAGAAATCAGAAGGAGAGAAGGTTGTTTAACATATTTTGTGGGAGGCATATGCCTCAATGGAACACCCAGATAAAACAGTAAAAAGGTAAGAGCTAGGAAAAGATTAGCGAACCAAATTCAACTCTATAGCTAAAATAGATAATGGCAAAGTAAGCTGTATTTCAGAGTGCAAAGATAACTTCACTTCAGCAAATCTAGTATTGTAATTCACCATATTAATGTACTAAAAAGAAAAATTACATGGTTATCTCAGTATTTCCAGAATATGATTTCAATACAGTTCAACATCTAATTATGATTTTTTTTAACTGAGAAAAAAGGTAAGGTTACTTTTTAAAAATATATAATATATATACTAAATATATATATGATATGTATAATATAGTATAGTACATTCCATTCAATACAACAGTATAAGAAAAAAACAAAACATGAAAATTAAAAGAATAAAAAGAAAAACTTTCTTTGCAAATGGTAATGATCAATGGGAAAACTCTTAATACTCAGAAGTGTTCACAAGACCGCCAGATTGCCAGAATTGTCAAGAGTAGTTGACGTATGTCAGTGAAAAAAGTCATCTCTGACTTCTGCCTACAGCCCTGTTGAAGTACCAGGACAGGACTTACCATCCTAGCATAAACAACTAGAAAAAAGGATAAAATATATGAAGCAGCTGTTTTCAGGCATCTAGCAGCAGGCAACACAGGACTGTGGTCTCTGAGAAAAGGCAAGCCAATGAAGTAAACCCTACGATCCCTGCCCTTCTTCCTAGAGGAAGGTTCTAGAATACAGCACAAACAGGAGGGTCTCAAGCAGTCCATGGCTGCTTCACTGAGTTGAGAAGAAAGTGATCAGAGGCTTTGGTGAGGCTGAGGAGACAGGAATCTGTGGGCAGAGAACCAGAGAGGAAGGAGGTTAGAAGCAGAAAGAAGTCCGTGAGTTTACTAGAATGTGCACATGCGGGGCAAAACTCTACAAGGCCGGGGAAAGGACTTTCCTGTAAGTTTCCACTGTGAGGTAAACAATGTCCAGAGTTGACCCAGGGCTGGGAGACACTTGAGTTCTGACCAGCTAAAGAAGAGTCCTTTGTATATCTGGGATTTCAGCAGTCACTGAAAGAGTCACACTGTAGTGATAAGACTAAAGTAGCCCAGAGTAAAAGTTACTATTAATCGCCCCTTAAAAAAAGCATGAGAACAAGACATTCTACGATGTTGTAAAGATAGTGGGGTACTAGGGCAAAAACAGACAAATAGAGAAACAAAGGAAAGAAAATAACTTAGAAAGAGATCCATGATAAATGATTGAAAAAAAAAAAAGAAAGTCACCGGGATTCAGTGGAGGAAAAAAAAAATGAATTATTTAGTATATTCTGTTGGGGTAACTGGCTCGCTGGATGAATAAAATTGTGGCTCTAATTCAAACCACATTCAAAAACGAACTCAAAAAAGGCCTCGATGTAAGAGAAAAATGCTACGTATTCCATAGAAGAATATGTAAAAGAGTATCTTTTTGACGTTAGGGTGGTAAGGATTTCTTCAATTAGACACCAGAAACATAAACCACATGGCAAAGATCGGTGGACTGCATCAAAATGAAAAATATCTGTTCAAACGTGGCCACCAGAACCACGGTTAACTGATGGGAGGCAGATTGGGAGGAGATAATGAACATTGTCTAAAACCAACAAAGAAACAGACTCTAGACTACAAAACACTGCAAACGAACAAGAGAAAAACAGGAAACCCAATGGAAAGATGTGCACCGTTCCTAGGAGAGGAAGCTGAATGGCCGGTACGTTGATGGAGGACTGTTTAACCTCATCAGTCATTAGAAATAGGCAATTAAAAATAGCAATGAGGGGTGCCTGGGTGGCTCAGTTGTTAAACGTCTGCCTTCAGCTCCGGTCATGATCCCAGGGTCCTGGGATCAAACCCCGCATCGGGATCCCCTGCTCAGCGGGAAGCCCGCTTCTCCCTCTCCCACTGCCCCCGCTTGTGTTCCCTCTCCCACTGTCTCTTTCTCTGTCAAATAAATAAATAAAATCTTTAAAAAATAAAAATAAAAATAGCAATGAGATGCTGATGGGCAAAAATTGGAAAGGTCAGAAAGAAAAGACAAAATGTTAGTGAAGGTGTGGGGAATCGAAGCATCCAATCAGCTTTCGTGCCAGCAGTCAGCACTGGGCATCATCCTCCAGAAAGACAGGGACCCAGCGTCCTGGGTGAGCTCTGGGTTGCTAGCTGGGTGCCTGGGCAGGAATGGCCTGGAGCCATTTCAAATGACACACACACAAGGTGGAGCTGTAATGAGCCTCCAGGGCTGCCTGGATGCGGGCACCAGGAGAGAAAATTCAGGAGAGGGGGAGGCTACAGAATGCAATTTCTTTCCACTTAGGAATGCATAAGACAAGGTGGGAGAAATAGAGCCAGTCCAGAGGCATTGGAACACTGATACCCGCCCCTCATCTCTCATTCCTCCAAGAAGAGGGCAGGTGTGAGTGAGATCCTCAGGCCTGGCGTCTCCAGTGCTTCTGACACGCTCTGAGAGCCTGGGTAGGACCCTCCGGGCCTCAGAATCCTCATCCACATGGTGGGAAGGGGTCCTGGCCCTAGCCTACCTCACAGGCCAGGTTACATAAATACGAAGGCCTGTGATTTCAAAATGCAAGTGGTGAGCTGGACCATTAAGGAGAGTTTGCTGGGCTGCTTTGAGGTTTGACCTATTTATTTTTCTCCGGGAGTTTTTTTGAAATTCTCTTTATTAAGGTTTTTTCCTTCCTTCTTCCTTTCTTCCCTCTGACTGACGTCAGCACAAAAGCCGGCGTGGGCAGAATTTGGGCATTCAGAGATACTGCAGAATAGTCCATTCCTGGCCCCTCCTCTTCCCAGGCCCTGGTCTCTGCAAGAGTCCCATTGAACCCCAAGGACAAAGGACAAGGCTTCTCATCCTCTGTCCCCCAGAGGTCCCACTTTCTGGTCCCTCTATTCAGCAGCCCAGGCCTGGGGTCCCAAGCAGAAGCCTCAGGACCCAAGGTTTATCCTGGGCCACGTAGACCCAAGGCTTAGTCACACTGCTCCCATCTATTACTCCAAAAAAAGAACTTTGGTTCTGCAAAGTGTACCCCACAGAACATTCAGGAAGCAGGACAGACTTGAATATAGGAGGAGACTCTGGCCACCAGCTTCACATCCCCTAAAATTTTCCCTACTTGGATGCCCAATGTCTCAGAATTTGCCATTAGAACTAAAATCGAACAAGGAAAACTTGAGCCCAGCCAGAAGTATTCCATTAAGTCTTACTAGTCATTTATGGCTCAGTGTGAATGAAATACTCGGAGCCTTTCCTGAGGGTCAGGTGTGAGAAAATTCTAGACCCTTCCAGAAGCCTGCCTGTAATAGGGGAACTTCTAAGAGGTGGAGAGGGCACAGGCAGTCCAGGTGAGGGTGTCAAAGACAAACCCCACCAACTCCTGACTGACCCTGGACTGGCCTGCCCAAAGACTTCCCAACCCCCCTCCCATGCGGCCTGTTTCCTGGTCCCCCACGGGCCCCGCCTCCCAGGCCAGCCCTCCTGCCCCTGCCTCTCCCTTCACTCCTTCTCTCGCTCTCTCTCTATGGATCTCCCCATCCCTTTTCCTTCTTTCTTTTTGCTTTCTGTTTTACTCTCATTTTTTCTTTTCCTTTCTCATTTTTCGTCATTCGCTTTTGCTCACATTTTTATCTTATTTATTGCCTTTTGCCTTCTCTTTCAGGTTCTCTTTCACGTTCCCTTCTTCTCCTGCACTTCACTTTCACTTTCTCCAACTTACTTTCCTCTGGGGTGCTCAGCCTGCCCTTCCAGAGCCTGGCGTCTTCCTCACTTCCCCAGGTCTTTCTGCATATCCTTCAGGGGAGGTTTTGGTTCCTGTAAATGCTACACGTCGATGAGCATATATATATATATATTTTAATCTCTTTTCCCACTTCTTTTTCTTCCCCCTTCCCTGGCCCGTGCCTCCGTCCTCTTTCCCTTTCTCCCTTCTCCCTGGGTATCCTTCTCTTCCCCGTCCCCCTTTCCTTCCAGCTGCACGAACATCTCAATTGTACCATGTTGGCAGATCCTTGCTGGCCTGACATTTTATCCTAGGTGCGTCTGCTTTAACTATCCCACTTAAAAATTAAAGCCATCTGCTCCAAACTGAAAACAGCCTCTCCCCCACCAGGGACAATAAATATTGATGACTTGAGGCATGATTGGCCTTATGATGTTTGATGACAACTGGTCTCAGTTACAGAATTTACATCATTTAATAAAAAAATGAAAAGCTCTAGCAGGGATGTTGCGTGTCAACAGACATTATTAAATGTCAAAAGAAATACATTTTCTTCAAGAGCCTGAAGCCGAAACAACGTGAGGGTGCCGGGGAGGGGTTGTGCGCGGGGAGTTTGGACAGCTCGAATTTGAAGTGCGGAATATTGTTTCTTTTTGGGTTCGCCCTCATTTGCTCCGCTTGAGTTTTCCTAGAGCCCTACTGTAGCCACCACCACTAAGCCTTTCTCAAGAAGTCCTCTTCCTTTTCATTATCTGAAAAGCTGAGCCCATTTGACATCTCTCTCCTTTCCCCACGGGAGAGCTCTCAGATGCTCCAGGGGGAGAAAGCTGGATGCACCGAGGGGCATGACGGCTGGAAGCCGGAGATGAGGTGAGAACGCTTACTTGGGTCTCTCTTTATTTTTATTGTCAGTACGAACTCAGGACTGTCTGGCTCTGAAGTTGAAAGCAAATAAACCCAGAGCTGCTATGTGAGCCTACTGTGCTTCCATTTATATCCTGATAAGCTAAATATAAATAGTGCTATTAAAGGGGTGGCTGCCCACATTTCTATGTGGGGTACACTCAGTCATTAAAAAAAAAATCGAAGGGTGGAAACAGTTACTGCTATTTTAAATGTATTTATGTGTTTTACGGAGCTGGGTTCTGACTACCTAAGATGCTTCTGGAGGCTCATGTGGGTATATTTAGAAGGATCATAAATGCTTGTGGTCTTCAGAGCGGTTTCGTGAATTAAGTCCCTAAAGGCGTTTATAATTGAAAAGGTTAACATAGCTTCTTGGAATTCCTCACCTACCTTCCTCCCCCTCCCAGTGGCTTAGGCCAGGGGAGAATCAGACTCCTTTTTAATCACAGCAGTTGTTGTGGTCTTTCAAAGAAGGTTCTGGAAAAAGAGAACAGAACTGCAATAGGAATGTAGGGATTTATGCTACTCGGTCCTGCATTTGTAAAGCAGGGTTGTTATTAATATCTACTTGATGGGGTCATTGCGGAGGTCCCAGAAATGTTATTTGTGGGAGTGTCTTCACAATGGAGAAGGGACTGAGAGGTGTCTCTTCTGGAGAAAGGGTGTGTCACCAGGAGATCTCTGAACTTTGGACACTTAACAGCTGGGGACTTTGGGCAAGTCGTATACCCTCTCAGAGCCTCGAATTTATCACCTGTGAAATGAAAATGCTAATACCTACCTCTCAGGCCTTTAGTGGAAATTAGATACCAAGTGTCTGAAACTGTTTAATAAACATGGAGTGCTGCCTTCTTTCATTCAGAAATACTTGGAACACAGCCTGTGAGCCGGGAAAGCAGCTGGAAGCTGAGGATGGGGACAGAAGTTGCCAGAGGAGCAGTTCTGACCTTGAGGGTGCCATTCTGCAGCTCTGGCCTCGGAACCTGGAGGCATTTGGAACCTGTGGGGGAACTGCAGCAAAGGTGAGGAATGTGGGAGAAAGTTCCAAAGAGGGATGTCAAAGAGCAACTGGGTCTAACTTGTCCCGGATATGGAGGGTGGGGAGTAGGGGCACTGGGGAGTGGGAAATCTGTCTGTTCTTGGCGGACGAGTCATCCAAGGCCGATGGAAGCACAGCATGTTGCTGAATGGAAACAATGATGCTGAATTTGGACAAAGGAGATATGTGGAGGTTGGAACGATGAGTCGCAAGTCCTTGGATGAGCAGAATGGCAAGCAAAATGCAAGGTTCATTAGGATTTTTATAGAGATTGCCATTGTGTTCACATCAACAAGATTTGCCCTGTTTTCTCTTTGTGTGGTTAAGGTTGGAACGAAGCTGGAATGCTCGGAAGGTCCAATGTCCAGGTTCTGACAGGTTCTCTCAGACCCAGCCCATTACCTGACAATCTTAGTCACCTGAGTTGGGGGGTGGGCAGTTGGCAGGATTCTCGCCAAAATGTCTTTCTTGTGATTGTGTCCAGCAACTCCTTCCCTCAGCCAAACCAGAAAAACCACTGAATCTGAGGTATTTGGCGTGGGTAGATGGTGTTCTGGATCCTTTAAGGGCAAATGGCTATAAAATGAAATGATCCCCTTAAAAGCTCACTTCGTCCTTGAAGTGTGTGTGTGTGTGTGTGAGCGTGTGTAGGGGAGGAGGTCCTGTAAGGCTCTCACTTTTTCCAAATGAACTTCCCCAACTTCATTAGGAGCAAGTGCAAACAGATGGGGAGGGCGTATTTCCTAATAGCAACAGCCTCTTCACCACTGACCACCATGAGAAAAACAGCACTCCCCCCCCCCCCCCCCCCACTTCTGGAAGTTGTCCCTTTAAGAGAGATAGGAAAGCTGGAGTTGTTTGCCTCCAAGGAATTTAAGAGAATCAACATGTTTTCCTTTCCTGGTTGCTCCTGTGGTTGGATTTGCTTAAAATTTTTCACTTCTTAAAGTAACCTCAGTTTGTTACAGTGAATTTTTTTTTGGCTTTTGTTTTGTTTTTCTCCCCCTTGTTTTTGTTTTGTTTTGTTTTGAGGTAGAGAAGACCAGCTCCAGGAAAAGAAAAAAAAAAGAAGAAAGAAAGAAACTTCCAGTTGTCAGAATCAGAATGCATATCAGTTATGCTGGAGACAATGAAAACATCAAAAAGCACATATAAGCCATAAAAAATTCAGGTCCTCGGAAGCAATGTGGGACACGCTTGGTTGCGCTCCTCATTTGCATGTCAGTACCCACAATGCTCTGCAAGCTCCCAGATCTTTCTGAGCAGCCCCAGTGTCTGAGCTCTAGGGAACAAAGTGAAAGGTTGGGGCGTGTGCTTGTGGGTGAGAGAGGGACTTTGGTATCGGCGGGAAAGGCAAGGCGGGCGTGGGGAGAGAACTGCTCCCACCGTGGTGATTCGCAGCCAGCCCCTTAGGGCTTAATCTCAGGCTTGGGAGCCGTACCTTGAGTTTTATTTTTTGGTTTGTTTTTTGGGGGGTTTTTTGTTTTTGCCTTCCTCTTCTTCCCTTTGCCCAGATACGCTGTGATGGTGAAGGCACGCTGTGCAGCCTTTAGAAGCCCTGACTGATGGGGTTGCTACAGCACTTGCCTGGAATTGGAGATTTTTGTGCAGTGTGTGTCTTCGGATGCTGGCCCTCATTCCAAGACATGTTGGCCTCTTCGGCATTTGGGCTCCCATGGACAGCCCTCGCTTGGTCAGTGCAGAAACATAGAGGTGCCACCGTGACCCGCTGCTGGGGACCAACGGGGCACCCTCTGACTTCACTCTTCCCTCCCACGCACGACACTCTTCTCTGCAAACCTTGGTCCCCAGGACCCCCACAGAGCCATCGTCTGGACATTGCAAATTCCAGGGGCAGATTGGGAATACAGGCCCCAAACTAAAAGTCGGTAGAGGCAGGGCCATAAACTTGGCCCCTGACTAGGTGTCCTCCACCTCCTGGGTGGTCTAGGGTGTGTTGCTCGTTCCCCACCATGTCTCCTTTCCTTCCCAAGCCTGTCCTGTCCTGGGAGGACCTACAGAGCATCTGTGACTAAGACACCTGTGATTTTTAATGTGGCCAACCATTCTGGGACCTGACAAAATACGTAAAAAAGAAAAGTGAAGCTCAATCTTTGAGGCTTCCATCTGGAAGGTTTTTGTCTGGGCTTGTCCTTTGATTTTTGAGCATCACTTTTCTCAGAGCTGCAAAGGAGTTCTTAGGCTAGATTAACTTAGCGGTAGGAAGATACGGGCGGAGGAGTGAACGTGGATACATGCGGGCTCTCAACCCACCCCCTGACACCTCCAAGCGTCAGAGGTAAGATAAAAGCCAGCCCCCACCTAGAATGGAGAAGCTGCTCCGGAAGCTGGACCCAGCAGAAGGGTTGGTCTGCTTCAGCCTGTACACAGTACTATAAAGTATGTTCCAACAGTTGCCAACAATTGAAAATCGGGAGCTTTTTTAGCTTTTCTTAAAACATCTGCAGATCTGACCACCCTAGGCCTCCATTTCTTCATAGTCACCAGGAGACAGCGGCTCCTGAGGGTGGTGGAGGCTCTCCTCTCCTGCAGGGCCTGCCTTCTCTGGCCCACCCAAGTCCTCCACCTACGTGTAATCCAGTCTGGCTTTTGCAGGCCCAGCCTTGGCCAGACTCATGCTCTGAATCCCTGAGTTTTCCCACTTTGTTACCAGTCACATCGGCATAAGGATAACCCAGCCCCAGCCCCCGCGCCCCCCACCCAGCTCTGACAGCTTTTCCTAGTGGGCATCCAGGGGAAGCAGGACCAAGGGCCTTGACTTATAAACACCCCCGGCTTTTTATCCCAATCCCCAAACATGCTCTGCTTCAGCAAATGTGTTTTTCACCTGCTACAGCCCCAGGAATCTGCCCCGGCCTCTGTGTCCTCCTGGCAGGCATATTTCCCTTCACTTCTGATGCCTAACGTAGTCTGAGGTGAGGGGTGGGTTGCAAGGTTTGGATTTTTCAAAATTCTTTCCCAGGTTTGTTGTGTCTAATTTGGGCTGCAAATGGTTTTTGGTGTCAACGGCTAACCACTGTTTGGTCTGAACATTCAGCTCTGTTGAATTTAGATGGCGGTGAAAGCCCAGTTTCCCCAAATACAGTCTAAATACATTTACACATTTATTCCCACATGTGTCTTTATGTTTCTGCCTGTCTCACCACACCTCAGACATATCCGTGGATGGGAGCGTCCCGGGAAGAAAATGGGCAGGTAACTTGACCCTCTACTGTAAACTTCATGAAAAAAAAAAAAAATCAGCAAGTGGACCCAATCAGATGATGAGTGATAAAGATGCTTCTGAGCAAGGGCATTCCACTGAGAGCTCGGACTGGAATTTGGTTGTTTCCTTACAATCTAAAAGATAAATAATATCACTAGAGAGAAGAAGGAGAAATAAAGTAAGGGAGTTGAGAAAAATAAGTAAAAAGGTACACCCCCCCAAAAAAAGTCTGTGATTCTTTATCGACATCAGAGCCTTAAATATGTTTAATGCTCACCAAGTTACAAGACAGTTAAAATAACAGGTGATGCTAGGTGTTAATAATACTGATGGTGACAGTTAACATTTATTGAGAGCTCACAATGCTCTAGGAACAGGGCTGAGGGTTATTACACACTTACTCCTTTAATCCTTATAACAACGCTGTAAGGTCGATATATTATCCCCAAGGAAACTGACACTTAGCGTGGTTAAGTAATTTGTCCAAAGTCCCAGAAGTCGAAAGGGATGGAGCAGGTATTCAAACTACATTGCCCTCCAGCATAACGTGGGCCTGGGCGGCAAGACTGATGCTCCCCTCACCAGCTGGCTAGAGTAAGGACCTGGCAGATGGCCTGCCTCTGTCATGACTGGCTTGGGAGCTGGCACTCGGGTGAGCCCAGGAAGGCTGGAGAGAGACAAATGGTGTATTTGGCCCACAATTCCTTTCCTAAAAAAAGACCCCAGGGATGTACCACGGGAGACCCACTGGCTGGTCGCTGATGAAACCCGCCATCTTTAGAGATTATCCCGCTCTAGACACATTGACAGAATGGGCCACAGCCTGGCTGATTTGACGGTTTCCTCACCCTGAATACATGTGACCTGTTGGAGGATGCACGGTGTGCTCATCGCCTAAGGGTGCCTGTCGGTCTCAATGAGGTGATGCCTGATATGAGGCCAGGATGGAGAGGCAGAGCCAGAACAGAGAGCAAGTTCCATCTTCCTCTGCATCATATCTGAAGATGGTGATGAGGATGGAATGGGGGTCTGAGCTCCAAAGTGCGTGGCTGGGAAAGAGGCAGGGCATCATCAGTGAACCTTGAGTCTGAAGTGGGCAGCCCTTTATATGATGATTTTCAGAGATGGGCAGATGCTTAAGCAGCCTGGTCTGGGCTGAAAACTCAGCTTTCATGTACCCCTACCCAGAGACCTTGAGCACCTAAGGGGGAGGCATTGTGCCAAGGATTATGGGTGATAGTAAGAAGAACAAAGGAGGTTCTTTGCCTTCTCTGCTTACATAATTCCTCTGTTGCAAGGCAGCTCGAACAAAGATTCCAAGCTCAGTGGAACAGAGCAACTCATGCTAATGGGGAAAAGGGGAAGTGTGTCACAGGGTCAGAGACCATGCCTACACACCCTTCCATTCCCCAGCGGGGACTGGGGAGTTGGGCATTAAGTAAATGTCTGTTGATGAACGACTGCTTCAGTCGATGATTGAATTTCTCTAGGGCTCTTGGAAATGTCTGTGGGAAAGGTAGAAAGGTAAGTTGTACCTGTCAAAATTAGACTTGCTGCTAGTAACCAACACCCCAGTTAGCAGTTGTGATAGAAATTTAAGGTTTATTTTTCTGTCATATAACATGAAGTGTAGAGGTTGGTAATCCCATGGCGGTATGACAGCTTCATAGTCATGAGGGACTCAACCTCTTTTAATCTTTCTGTTCTTCCATGTTAAGTTCATGAATTCCTCTCCTAAAATCACCTCATGGTAACAACATGGCTGCTGGAACTCCGTTTATCACATCCACGTTTCAGGCTGAAGAAAGAGAAAGAGGAGAAGCGCAGCCTTCTCAGAAGCCTCAATTGACTTCCACTGACATTTCATTGGCCACTTATAGGTGCAACGGAGACTAGGAAACATGTTCTTTTATCTGGGCATATTTCAATCTGAGTAAAATGATGCTTTTAGTAAAGAAGAAGGGAAGAATGGATAGTGGGCAGATAACTGCAGACTCTGCCTTGTAAGATTCAGCCTTCTGTACGGAGAGGAGGAAGGAAAGGAACTCACCAAGGTAATCCCTGTCTCACTCCTGTCCTTTGAGATGCACAGCTTTGAGACATTCTTTATTGCGGCCTGATGATGTGGCAAATACAATATGTGGGTGCCTGGGGCGCATAATTAGTTCCTTCACTATTCAAATCCTACTGTTAAGGGCCTGGTTAATTGCATTGACTTCTCCTTCATTATTTTCAGCTGTGTAAAGTGCCTCTAAGACGGCTCGGATTCTATTTCCTAATGAAGCTTCTGGTGAAAAATGGAATTTGACAGATATGTGGACAGAAATGCCCTGCAGTAGCTGACAGAGCTGGACGTGTTAGCCAGGCATGCAGATGGACAGATAGGCAGATAAAGCCTTTAGTAAATACCAAGTATTACTTAACAGCAAACTTACTGCCTCTCACTGACTCGAACAGGCTCTTACAGGATATTTAATGACTTCCGCTAAACAGAATACTAGAGTTTCTCACTTTTTTTAGGGCTGCAAAAATTAAAGCTACCGTGTAAGACAAATGCCAAATTTCCACTCTCCTGTGTGTTCAGCTTTCTTAGCTTTTTCCCTCAATGAAAACCAAATAGACACCCTTGGTTTTTCCAAGATGGCAACCCAACAACCTATGTGTTCTCAGGTAAGGGCTCCCTCGACACAGAGAGCATAATGGAGCTGGATGTTTTCCAGTTTTCTTTAGCCCCGGGCTTGGGAAGCTGTGCATTGAGGTTTTTGAAGAGGGAGGCAAGAATGTGAAATGGAAGTCCTTGGCCTTCTGCCCATTGTTAGCCTTGGAGGATCGCTGAAGGGGTGGACCACCTCCTGGTGAAACCATCAGCTTCTATCAGACATGGTAGAAATGACCAGTCCTTCAAGGAGGTTGAGATTATCCAAAATCCCAAACCTCACCAATATTCCAATATCTGGAAAAAGACTCATCAAAAGGAGAGAATAAATTCTTTTTATCATTCATACTGGTAATTACTTACAAATATCTTCCTTTCTAGGAGTGAATAAGTCTTCCTTGTTCTCTATTAGCTTTTTTTCCCAGAACATAAATAGTGCTCAGTAAGTATTAAGTTTAATGGCTGTATAGATAACACCCCCTAATTTATTTCAGGAACAATGTCTGTCTTGGCTTTTTCCATCCCCTTTGTTGGCAGGCTTTTGACATATTTTTTCCTGGGCATTTTCTTTGTTAGTTTTTAGTGATTGAGATTATATTGCATATACTCAACACTGTGTACAATGTAATACACAATATAATATAATGTAATAGGCAACTGTGTACAATGCTCTAGTATTCTGTTTAGCAGAAGTCATTAATGCTAACCATTGTAGCACAAACATATTCCTATGTGTGTTCATATAGGCTAAGCTGCTGTAATAAGGAGACCCCAAAATACAGAGGCAAAAATAAAGTAGTATTTATTTATCTCTCATGTAATAGTCTAAAGATAGGCTAGGGCAGGTGGGCAGTTCTGCTCCACAAGGCAATCCAGGGAACAGGCTGGAGGAGTACTCTCTTTAACACATGGTCTCCATACCTTGATTCCATATGGCTCCTCCAGTTTTCATCACTTCAAAGCCAGGGAGAAGAGGGAAAGAGAGAGTGGAGGACAAACAGATTCCTCATAAAAATATAATCCAGAAGGTTCACGTTTTATGTGGGCTTACATCTTATTGGTCGAAACCTAGAACATGGCCATACCTAGCTGCACGGGAGGCTGGAAATTGTGGTCTCTCGCTGGACAATCATATGTTGCATCAGTGTTTCCCAGGGGATATTAATCTTCAGGGTTTACAAATGAGAAGTTGGAATTCCTGGGAATTCTTGGAACTTCCTGAAATCTTAAGTTAGTCTTAAAAGAACTCCAACATTGTTCATACTCTTTTCTCATTCTATGAATTTCTAACAATATTGGTTCAATAAATTAGACATACTAAATTTGGTAAATTTACAAGAATGATAGCATGTAGTAAATAATCAAATGTTGGAAAATATCAGTGAACATTATTGGGTAATAGCCAAATAATGTGACATTTAGATCTAGCAAAGTTAAAGCCCTGTGCAGAATTACATGTCAAAATTACTTGTTATTTCTGAGATTATCATTAATAGGATGTATATATATCAGATTATCATTAATAGGATATATATATACATGTATATAAATTTAATATTTGTTTTATTTGCAAGAATGACTTGCCATTCACAGCAGTCAGGGTCATGAACACACACTTGTAATGAGATAAGAGCTACAAACAAGATTGACTGAGTAGATCATGATCACTTCTCTCCTATGTACGCTGATCCTGGTTCCTGGAAATGTCAATCTTAACCTGCCCGTGTTTTCTGCTCTTGCTTTTGAGTTAACATTGATGGATTCAAACCAGCAATGTCTCTCTGTTGATTGTTAAGCTTTGATTCTTGCAGGAAAATTACAATACTTTTTTTCATGGTCCTAATTTCTTCACTAATTTTTCTTTCAGGATTTTGAACAACACAAAAATTTCCCAAGAAATGCTGGAAAGGAATCCTCACATGGAAGCCTTAGTCAGGGTGAGAACGGTGGGGTGGGGGGTGGGGGTTGGAGGGGACTCCCCCAACTCCCCCAGGACTCCCCCTGGGAGATATCCCTGCTCAGGACCAGCTACATAATTTCTGGGCTCAGTGCAAAATGAAAATGTGGCGCCTCCTTTTCAAAAATTACTAAGAATTTCTGGATAGTAGCCATGGAGTATTAAACCAAGTATGGGCATCAAGGATGGGACCCTGTTTAATAGCTCAGGTCCCACACCCATGAAGCTGCCCCTGCCTCTGCTATATCACATCATTTAAAAATCTTCATTAATCTCATTTTAACTGGCTGCATAGTATTCCATTGTATGGCTTTACCGTGATTTATATAACTATTTCTGTATTCTCAGAAATTCTGGTGACTTTTAACTCAGCCTTCTTTTCCACCAATTTTACTTATCCTATCTTGGGATTGGTTTGGTCTCAGGAAATGTGTGGAAATGTTTGGTTTTCTGCCTAAGATGTGGAGCTTTAGTTCTGACACTCCTTAGAGGCTGCAGACCCCAGTTGAGGAGTGATCTGTTACCCACAGGGTTTAAGTCTGAACCAAAGCCAAACGGGCAGAAACCAGACCGGATGGGAACCCCGCACGGGAGGCATCCTGGTGGTGAGCAACATCAACAGGCAGATCAAGCCAAGGCTGGGTGAAAAGACAGAACAGAGTCAAGACAAACATGGGCCTGGCCTCAGTGAGAGGACCAGGGATGAGCTCCATGGGGGGTGTTGTTCAGCCAAGAGCAGCGGTTGCCCTTTTGCTTGGGGCTATCTAGCTCTTCTCGAGTTCTTCCCCAGTCCATGTATCCCTGAGCTGGTCTCCTGGACTCTAGAGAGCTGTCTCTGTCCATGTTGGATGGCTCTTTCTCTCCTATAAACTCTGGGCAGGCTGGGAGCTCAGTTTTTAGGGGCTTGGAGAGGAGGGGGGGGGCTGGATGACCACTCTCTGGGACTCCAGAATCCCCTGCAGGCCTCTGTGTGATCGTCAGCCTGAGATGTTACGTTCACAGCAGATAAACATGTCCTTCTTGGCTGACACAGTTAGCAGGAACGGGCCAATGCTACACAGCAGGAAGCACAACAGTGAAGGGTGGGAGAAGCATGGGACTAGTTATCCCTGGGGGCCAAAGGCATCTCTGACCCTTTCATTTATAACCGAAATGATCTTAGGTGACCCACAGCCATTCTGTGCCTCTGTTCCCCATCTGTAAAGTGGGGCCAATAGGGATCCCACAGTTTTAGGGATCAACACACTTTTTCTGTAATGAGACATATAGTAAAAATTTTAGACTTTGTGGAGCATAGTGTTTTGTTTTGTTTTTATTTTTTTGTTTTAGTAACATTTTTAACCTCTCTTGAAACTTTGACGTGTTTAATACAGTGTTGTTAACTATAGCCACAGTGCTTTACCTAATATCTGCAGAATATACTCATCTCATAACTCAGCATTTATACCCTTTGGCCAGCATCTCCCCATGCACCCCAACGCCGAACCCCTGGCCAACACCATTCTATTCTCTATTTCTGAATTCAACCTTTTTAGATTCCACTGCTAGGTGAGAACATGCAGTGTTTGTCAGACTTACTTCGCGTAGCCTAATGCCCTCAGAGTCTGTCCATGTTGTCACAACTGGTAGGATTTCCTTCTTATTCATGGCCTAATTTCTTTTATTTTTTGAATCAAAATATGTTTGTCCTATAACATGGTGTATGCTTGAAGTATACAGTATGTTGATCGTGTAAATTTGATACACTTATACATTATGATTTCATTACAGTGTTAGCGTCTCTATCACTTCACATAATTATCATTTCGCTTTTGTGGCAGGAATAATTAAGAGTTTGGTTATTATAATACCACAACATTGGCTCCGTTCAATATCCTGTGCATTAGATCTCCGGGATTATTTACCGACTGGTTTCAAGCTTGTACCTTCAACCATTTCTCCTATTCCACGCACCGAGCCTCTGGTAACCACCACTTTGCTCTTTGTCTTCATGAGTGTGGCTTTTATAGATTCCACACAAAAGTAAACTCATCCAGTATTTGTCCTTTTTTGGGTCTGCCTTGTCTCACAGAGCATAATGGCCTCAAGGTCCATACACGTTGCTACAAATGTCATGAGTCTCTTCTGTATCTCATGCCTAAATACTATGCCCTTGTGTGTATATATACCACATCTTCTTTATCCATCTGACGATGGGCGCTTAGGGTTGTTTCCATATCTTGGCTATTGTGAATAAGGCTGCCGTGAACATGGGAGGGCAGACATCTCTTCAATACAGGGCGTAGGGTGTTTGTCCCAAGCACCCCTCTCTGCTGCTGGGGGGTGAAAGTAGTGCAGGTGGCACCTAAATGAACGGCAGTCCCTATGAGCCAGTAACATTGTATTTACAAAAGCTGGTGGTGACCATAGTGTGCCGACCCTGACCTATATCACAGGACCGGTGTGACAATGAATTGAAATAGGGTGTGGAAAGCACTTGCTACAGACCCCTTCATAATGAGAGCCTCTCCCCTGTGCAGCAGGGACAGCCGGATAGGAGCAGCTGGGAGAGCCATTCCCAGCTTCTCAGCTTCGAGATCTGGCCCCTGACTTCTTAGCAAGATACTGAGAGGGTCCTCCTCACCTACTTTTCCTTCCTGAGAGCCAAACTGCCGAAAGGAGGCATCTTAACATTCTTCTAAGCAGACATCATGGCCTACTTCTGCTCTGCATTAGTCCCTCTCCGGGACCGTCGTTGAAGATGAATGCTTTCTAAGATGCGCGTGTAGACATGGGCTGCCACCACGAGAAGAGTCTTCGAGAATGTCCCCCTCTCTTCATTTCCATATTGCACGTTCTTAAAAGCACATCCCTCCTCTTCGATGTTGTTGGCTTGGTCATCCATGGAGAGCACTTGGGGAGGAATTCTCTTGAGCCCGAGACCCCTGGGTGAGCTGCAAAGGTTGGAAGTAGCTCAGAACAATGGTATCTCCGGGACTGAAACAGAATCGACGCCCGCACTTTCTTTTACCACGGAATCTCCAAAAGAGGATGTGACAATGGAGATTCTGAATCTAGTCTGGGGTGAGACCTAGGAGTCTGTCATTAAATAATAATTTTAATAATGATAATAACAATAATTTAAATAAAAGTTCCCCCAGGGTGAGTCTGCTGCTCAGCCAGGTAGCTGCTTAGCTCTTGGCCATTCTCCTGGCTGTGGTTAATTCCCCCTTGCTATTCCATAACCCCACTCTTCCAAAACCCCAAGCCCTAGAGCTGCCTGATTGCCTCTTTTCTCTGTGCACTCGCTGTGTTCGCCAAAAGGCAGAGGGCTTCACAGACGCGTTCGTCCCTGCAGCGGAGGCTCCGCGCTCCAAGAAGGAAATGATTTCACACTGGATCGGCCAGCCGGGAAGGCTGGAGTTGTGGGCTCAGCCAGAGGACTCCAGAGAGCTTCGGGCCAGGAGGGCTCCAGTGTTTCCAAGTCAACGCCGAAGGCTCATATACTGGTGGATGGGCAAGTCATTGATTTTTCTTGAGAATGATAACTCGAGTGTATTTGTTCAGTGTTTTTCAGAAACAAAGGCTTGTCTGATTTTATTTTCATTTCATTTCATTTTGGTTTTTTGTTTGTTCTGAGAGGAAAAAGCTTGAGCAACTAAAGCAAAATCTTGGTGTTTTATTATTCAGTGGCCCCAGGGGTCAAGTTTGGTTGCATCCTTCTATCAAATACATTGATTTTTCAACAGATATTTCATGAACATCTACTGTATATCGTGCTGGGCACTGGAGGGCTCTGGGAGAAGCCTGAGACGGGGCAGTTTCTGAGTTGGCTGTCCTGCCCCTGGCATCCACAGTCCACCAACCCCCTGCCACGCCCCGAGGGGCTTCTCTGTCCTAATTGCAGTACCACAACAAGGAACCAATCCCAGACAAAAGGATTTTAAGGGAACTTGGACCAGCTGTTCAGTAAATCAGGTGTGTTGCTGGCCTTGCTCGGCCGTTTCCTGTACCCCATCCTTGCCTTATTCCCAGTAAGCAAGTCTTCCTTCTTTTTATTGACTGCCTGCTGTGGAATATGGTGCTTAGTGCTTTACACCTGCTATCCGGTTTGCCCTTCCCGTAACCATAGCAGGCAAAGAGCATGATGCTTACATGACAGATGAGGAAGCTGCGGCTGCAGAGAGATTATTGGCCTGGGCTTTGATGCCAGGTTGTCAGACATCAAACTAGCGCTCTTTACCCCTGTCCCAGACGAGCTCCTACCTTGTGCTGTAGCTTCTGTGAGTGCATTTAGTTACGTTCCCCGGTAGAGCTCATCTGCACTTTTCGGCCCTCAACCCTCGTCTCTCAAAACCAAGTGTCTCTTCACTATCCTGCATTTCATGGGGAAATGGGACATTCATATCTAAAAGGATCAGCTGTACTAGAAAATCACTCCTGTTCCTCCAGGTTGTCTGTTGCTGGGGAATCACTAAATATCTCTAAATCAGTCGTTCTCAAAATATGGTCCCTCCACTAGCAGCAACAGCATCACCTGGGAACCCAGAAATGCATATTCTCAGGCCCCACTGGGACCTACTGAATCAGAACCTCTTAGGACAGGCTCAGGTATCATGTTTTAACTTCTCCAGGGAGCTCTGATGCGCACTGATGTTTGAGAACCGCTGGCCTAGATTTGATGCCTCAGAGCCAGTAATCGTATCTACAGCAGATGGGGGCCGTATGAGGCATGGCGGCAAAGCCAAAAAGGGAAATCGGAGGGGCTGGCCCTTCAGTATTCAAAAACTTGGAAACATTGTATATTCTGTTGCTATCTTGGAAATTCATAAAGATACAGGCCACCAGCATATTCAAGACCAGGTCCTCCTGCAATAAAAGCCGTGTTTAAATTTACTTAAACAGCCTTTCCTAAATTCATTTACATTTAAATCATGGCCCTTGTCTTTTGCAAAAGATCTGTTGACATCCCAAGGAACTAGGAATGAACACACTTTGGGAAGGGTGGGTGTGATCATCATGATCATGATCCCAGAGTATATATGACCCTCCCTTTGAGCATGTTTATCAGAATTAAATATCCAAAATCCCTATCAGAAATTCAGGAACATCAAGAAGACTTGTTTTGAAAATCATTTTTGGATCCATATAGACACCATGTTGCAAGACTCCAGGAGACAGCTCTGTGAATGGAGCCCCCTGGCATTGTACAATGCTGCAGCCTGGACCTATAGCCAAAGACTGAATTAACAAAAGGCTTAGAGAACTAAAATGTTTCCATCTACCAGAAATAACTGAGAATTGAGATGTCTGGGGGGAGTCTAGGGAGAGGATTTTCAAGATATTTAACTCTTTTAAACTGTATGGAAAATATTTCAGGATGAACTTTGTCAAGTGTAACTCTTGCAGTAAGTGAAATGACATTGAATATGGTCATATTTCTGCTCTTTTAAGCCTGGCTCACTGTACGCTTTCAAAGCATTTGACAAGAATAGTTTGTATTTAGGTACCATCTTTCATTCCCAAGCTTCAAGAGTCTACTAGGGACAGAACAGGCCAGAAAATTCCCAACATGGAGGTCCCCTTCCCCTACTGGGATGGTAACATTCTAGCAAAAGCAGGAAGTTTGCGGACAAGGAAGTCACTCGCTGACTATGGAAGACGGGAGAGGGTATCAGAGCTCATCAGCATACAGAGGAACCAGCCCGGACAACATGACTGTGGGCTTCCTATTTCAGTGAATTAACTTAAGAGAAAGAAGAGGATAGTTATTTCTTGTTCTCTTTGTGGTGCCCTAAGAACTTCACATTGAATCGGGAGATGCTTGCCTCCCTCCCGGGCCCCAGTCATGCCTGAGAAGTGCCCCAAATTACTTCGCATGAGATGCTGGTTCCAGATTCAGCAGGGAACCAGCAATGCTAGGCATACTTGAAAGTCCAGCATAGGGAGGCGGTGAAAAGGGCTAGCTTTGAGTTTCCCCTCTGCTTGGCAGGTGATTTCTTTCTCCCTTATTTTCAAATAAAGTTTATGATTTTCTCCCTTATACATTCTTATTACAGGAAATTTGGTGAAAATAGAAATGTACGAAGCAAAGAAACTCCCATCATCTGAAGAGAATCCCTATCAGCAATTTAGTATACTTCCCTCCAGTCTTTTTTCTATGCATTTTTTAACAACGGAATTAAGATCGCATGTGGAGTATTAAAGTACAAGCTAGGCATATACCCATGTTTTTTTTAAAATCCCGCATAAACAAATGAGGCCATACGCTCTTAGAAGGCAAGGACCGGGTTTGTCTTTTCTACTGTAGTGATCCTGGGGCCTAGTACAGAGCCTGGCAACAGTGATGTTATTGAACGAAATCGCAGTGGGGCAATATTTCATTGAGTAGATATACCAGAACATGTGTAAGCCTCCCTCTACCGTGGACATTAAAATTGCTTCTAATTTTTCACAGTTATAGGTAACACTGAAATTCTGTTCTTTTTTTTTTTTTTTCTATATTGGATTATCATCTATAGCAGATACTGTCAACATCCCATCCCTAGGCCTCTCCCAGGGGTGCCCGAAGACTGCCTCTGGATGGTCTGCTGGTTTCCTGTGTCACCTGACTGGACTTGTTTCCTGGCCATGGAAACATGCTTGGCCTATGTACATGTAGAATAGCTTGGATGTGCTAGCATTAATGTCTCTGAGCAAACCTCAACCAATGGGGATGGGCATTCAAGCTTCCTTGCTCTTCAGCATGGCAATTGACACAATTGACATGGTGTGTTCTATATCCTCTGTCAGATGGTCTTCACAGGATTGAGCCCCAGCTACCCACCTTGTCCGACTCATTAGTGTATCCATCATCTTCACTTTTCTCTCATTCCTGTTTCCCACGTTTACCCACCCCCTCATCATGCTTCCCGAAATCATCTCCCAAAGAAACTTCTCACTTGCACCAAATCCTTGTCTCAGGCTCTGCTTCTGGGAGACTCCAAACTAAGTCATTAACTTTAGGTAGAGTCACAGAAGCCAAACTATTGAGCCAAACCAGATGACTTCTTTAAAGAGCCAAGACTCATATTGATGGGCAAGTCATTTCCATGTAGGGGTTTGCAGGGCTCTTTTATCAACCCTTGATTTTACTGTAAGAATTTGGACCAAGAGCTGGACATTTAGGAAGAAGAGGAGAAAAAATCAACACACTCACCTGCTGGTCTGCACTATAAGATCGGTAAGCCGTTCCATTTGCTGTTCACTTTTCTCTGTTGTTTATCTTGCTTCATTTTATTCCACGTTCCTGGTCAGAGGCCAGTGGTTATAGAATTTTCTCCTTTGTCTCTACCAATGGGAAGGGAGGGCGAATTGAAGGCAGCAGAGAAAAGAACCCTGGAGGAAGGACCAGTGACACATTGCTTTGCAATATTTCAGCCTTCAGTTCTCCATTACAACCAGAGTCTGGTATTTTTGGGGGGAAATGAAGAGAAACAGACTGTGCTATAAGCAGGTTTTTGTCATTATGAAACCCCCGCAGTTCATGAGGAGTGAGCTTGGTTGTGTTCCAAGATAAAGCTCCATGTTTGGGGATTGTCATAGTGACCCGGGAAGCATAGTTTCTCCAGGGAAACAGAGGAATGCAGTTTCCTACCAGGTTCACTGCCAAGGCCATGACTCCACATGGTAAGAAAACCAAGGCTGTTGTCCTGAAAATGAGGGACAAATCACCCTCTTTTGCCCAAGAATGACTGGATATTCCAAGAAAGCAAGGTCAACTGTGGTTGGATGGACACTGCAGATAGACCTTTGAGGACTTTTAGCATATTGGTGAGGAATCCCTTTCTATTCGGCGCTTGCACCATCGCATGTGGTATTTTTTGTTTTTCTGGTCTTGTGTTTTACAGGATAAAGAGAAGGGTGCCTTGGTCAATGTCAATTTAAAGGCAGTGATTAAACCAGGCATGTCCTCCCTCCAACCGGAAAATGTCAGATGCCTCCCAGTTGTCTAGGTCCCTATAGCCTTCTCAAAACTCCTCAAACGTGTTCAAAGCTCTGTTCTCTGGAGGATTCTAGCTTACTCATAAATCCATTGTGTGGGGAAAGAGAATCACATGGCACCCACAGACCTGATGCGCAGGTGCCTTGGGGAGCAACAGTAGCAGGGTCCCACGTCTGGCCGATTTGGGAACACTTGGTACCGTGTGGAGAGCCCTGCATGGCAGAGACTACTTTATGCTCCCGAGCCAGGTCTCCTTTTCCTTCGGGACACACAGCTAGACAAGATACGCCAGCCTCCCTGGTGGTGAGGTGGGACCACATGATTGGCAGAGGGACATATTCATACTTCCAGGCTGGCTTCTGGCTCTTGTGCCCTTCTCCCCACCCCATCCTTCTGCCATTCTGGCAACTGGATGCAAAGGACTCCAAGGCCCCAGAGGATAGGGGACTAGTAAAACTCTAGAAACCTGGTCCCTGGAGCCATGGCTTGGGGGTGACCTGCCCAGGAGAACTGCTGAGCAGAGCCAACGACATGGGATGTCATGTGAGTGAGAAATCGTATTTCATTCTGTGAAGCCATTGACACTTTGTAGCTGTTTGTTAGGGTCCTACTTCCACTGGCAAATACTGGTCATTTCCTGGCATGCATGTGAGTTCACCGGATGGCCGAGTGCGCTGCTCCGCGGGTCCTGCTGAGCCCCCGTAAGGTCACTCACGGGAAGGAGCATTCCATCACAAAACAGTGGCGAGGGCGTTTGAAAAGCCTGCGATCCACAGCCTTGCTCCGTGGCCTGGGGCCACGGGAGCACAAGCGCCCCGCTCAGGTGAGCAGGGAGGAGCGGCAGGCGATGGGGTGTGAACAGGGCAGAGATGTGCCCCCCGTGCACGCGGGCACATGGCGAAGCGTCAGTGTGGGCCTCCCGCAGCAACTCACAAGCAGCTCAGATCTCCAGTGCATGCCCTTAAGAAACCACATCATAATGCAAAGCAAAACTTCCCGAAATTCTTGGTCTCCCCATCTCTCTGTGATACAGTTCACGCTAGCACAGTAACTGCTGCCCCAGGAGCTCTCCATCCGGGTGCCGAACTCATCCCCTAAAACCTCTCTCCCACCCCTCCCACGCTGTCCCTCTCCCCTGCCCCGCCTCCCCATCCCTCTCCGGAGCCACTCTTTTGTCTCTCTGTCAGGTCTCCACTTTCCAGCTCTGTAAGCCAAGCCAGGCTTTCGGCTAGCCCTGGCCTCCGCATTTCCTGTTGCAGCTCATCGGCTCAATTGATGAGTTGGTCATAAACCCAGAAAGGCCCATAAATGAAAACAGAATTCTCAAGGGTGGCCTTGGGCAGTGCCTGTGCATATACATAAGTTACTATGATTATCATCATCGCAAACAGATTGATCATCAGCTCCACTTCTTATGAGTTATATGACCTTGAGTAAATTCCTTACAGCCTTTAGCCTCAGTTTTGTCCCCCGTAAAATGGGGTGGATGGAGCTCCAGTGGCTTCCCGCCAGAAGGGGCTGCAGTGTAGTGTATGTAAGGGCGGTCAGCGCGTGGCTGCCCGTGAGCAGTGTTGCCCTTCCTGCCCTTTCTGAACTTGACTCCTTCGCCCCCTGTGAGGAGAATCAGGGTGGGGATCCAGCCCAAATGGCGCGAAGGAGGGTAAACTGAGGCCCCGGCCCTCATCAGCACCCCATTTGACGTCAGCTGCTCCAGAGCTCAATCCCGAGTTTCCTGGCCAACTTTCAAGTGACCTTGAAGGAAGCGCTGCTTTTCCGCCTGCCTCCAGCTGAGCGTTTCCACCACAGGGGAAACATGCCCACCCTTCGTCCCCCGGGGTGGGTTGTGAAGGTTAATGAATTGCTATTTGTGAAGTGCTTTGAGATCCCTGGATGAAAGGCCCTATGAAGTCAAAAGCATCGGGATGATGATTAAATTGCCTTGCCTGAGGTCAGACAGCGCAGGACTAGGGGAGCCGGAAAGGGAAGACACATTGCCTTTCTTCCATTCCCCTGCTAGAACAACTAACTAAGACTGGCACTTGTTCTTGTGAAGACGGGCCTGTCCCTCTGTGGGTGGATGTCCTCGGGCTTTCTCATCCTGTCTCCTTTATTCCCGGCACCCTGGTTAGGACCGGATTCGGGCTCCTCACCAACCCTGCTCATTGGAGTGCTGAGCAGCTCCCCGCTCTGGGGGAGACCTCTGGCTTGCAGGGTTTTTAAAAGCCCAGGGAGGCTGTTGTGGGAGGGCCAAAGAATCACACTTGGCCCTGAGACCCTTCTTGAGAAGGAAAGGACACAGTCTTTCTTATGCCAACTGGCCCGCCAAGCTAAGGAAGACCTCTGCCCTGGCCGAAGGTGCAGGGTTGTGGTGGTTGTGGGGGTGGGGGGTTGGGGACCCCACACCGCCGGCAACCTCCTACACCCCGCTTTCTCTTCCCTTTCTTTTCCTTTTCCGTTCAACCAGCCTCACAGTGGTGATATTTGTCTTACAAACATCTCCTGCCCACCTTTGTCTTTTCCTGCCCCCACGTCGGCCGGTGAAGAGCCGATTCATTGCAATTCAGACACCTGTCACTTTCGGATGTCAACGTGGCTGTTGCCACACTGATTAGTTAAGATGAAGGAAAAAAAAATACAGTGCCATATAAATAAAAAATTAGAGACTGTCACGTCGTGGAAAAAGGGCCCACCTTCCAACGCCAGATCTCTCGGCAGAGCAACACTCCTGTTTCCCTGGTATCTCAGCTGAGGGGGATTCATATAATGTCTTGTTTTTAGTGATTAAGTGGTTAATGATTTAATGAACTAAAAAAAAAAAAATCTCATTTGTTGCTTCCCTTGGACTTGGAAAAAACCTCAAAGAGCTGATTTTCTGTGTACCTCAGTCCAATATTGCTACCTGCTGGGACAGGAACACAGTCTCTAAATAAATTGCTAGTGGCCTTAGGCGGGTGGAAGAGTCTCCCTTTGATCCTGCTGGAGCAGATGAAGTCAAATGTTCAATCAATCAATCACATTCATAACTAGGAGCCAATCGGGCTGACAACAGCCTATTATTT